ACTATAGTAACGCAGTGTATGCGGAGCCGTGACGTCATCTTCAATGCGAACCACAAAACCAACATCAGCCGTTAGCCCTCAGAGCTCACAGCTCTTCATATCTGTTCAGAAACTAGACAGAAGTTAAACAAGTCCAAACCACAGACTGTCTGAGTCATGGAGAATACAGTAACTGGTTTGTTTATGTCTGTAGGCCGTTGTTGTGAGTGTGGACGGTCGGAGCATATATAACGTTAGCTTAGCCGATCTCCATTCAGAAAACACGCATTTTAAAAGGTGTTTCTCCTGCCGTCTGTCTGCAGACTTGTCAAAGCATTAATTCATGGTTTTTACTAACCGGTATCAGTAGGTTGTTACTTCGGCATCATTTAGAAACGTGTGTAATGGCAATTTTAATGCTCCAATGTCCTATATCCTTTGCCATTACTTCACAGGAGGGTTTAGAGCGATCCTCACGCAGACACAAACAGAAGAATTTCCGGTCTTTTGCTGCAGTTTAGAATGATGTTTTATTTCGCTTTACATACCAAGGTTTAGTTTTACTGTGTCAATAGTTGTGGTATGAGCATCTGCCGGGCTGGTGGAATCGGTATGCTCTTCCTCCTGTGTCCTCGTCCTCTCCTGTCACCTATGACCCCTTTCATACACCCGGTGCAGCTAAACCCCGCCACCAAGTGTTCAAAAATAATATTGCACTATACATATCAATTAAATAAACTGAGACACCAACAACACCCATAAAATGGCTCCTACAACGTGTATTACAATTAAATCACTGTCAAATATGTTCATCTTGTTGTAGTTGTAGCCCCCTTGCCAGCGATTCTCTCTAGTTTAGCAGACTCAGCCCGGTTGTTGGCCCGGAAAGAACCTCCATTTTGGAGAGCCAGAAAACTGTGAAAAAGTACCCGCTAGCCGGAACTACGCCAAGTGGAAACGCAACCAAAAACTGTTAAACCGCGCTGTAGTGAAAATGTGCCATTAAAATAGGATCTGCAGGATTCACCTGAGCCAGGTACGCTCCGAACCCGGTGGCCACTGTGGGCGCCTGGTAGGCCACGCCCAGTTTATCCACGTACCCTAGGAAACTAAACACACACACACACTGTTTAGAACGACAATAAGAGGATCTGCACCACAAGATGTTTTTATTAATGATGATTAAATGTTGTTATGGTCAGCTGATGGAGCAGTTTTGACTTTAAAGGTGTCCCATCACGCTAAATGCATTTTTTGGAACATGATATGCAGTGTGCGAAAAAGTACACGTCCCACCGTCCGGGACGTGTTATTTACAATATCGGACAAGTAGATCTTTCAATTGACTTGTCCGGTGGACAAGTGACGTTTTTCGCCCTGATTTATTGACAAATTATTGATAAATTCAGTTTACAAAAGGCAGGACTCATTCGCAAATTGTCAGTGTCCGCCATTGTTCGTTTAGAAATGTTAGTTTCGGTTCTGCTTTTCGATTCCTAAGGAAATGCATCTCGCTGCTTTCTGTACAGTTAGACGGGGGCGGGGCGGGGAGGGGCGGGAAGTGTAGCACAGTGGCAGGGTTGGGAAGCAAAACTCGGTTCCGAGTAGGAACAAATAACGATTGTCCGGTCCCGGGATTGATAAGAGTTGTGAGGACAGGAGGCGAGGCCGAGTCCCGCGGACCGCAGCTCTCTCTCTCTATGCTCCGTATCAGCTGTTCGCTGCACGGTGCAGCTCAGCGTCTCTCTCTCTCTTTCTACACACCGTTTAACAGCCTCTTCTTTGTCAAACTTTCTTATGTTCTTTCTCTAACACGTAATGAAGGTTATTAAGCGTTTTAGCTCCTGTGTTGTTAATATTGACCGCCATTTCCTTTATGAAGTGAAGCAGCCTCCCTGTGTCCTCGCGCTGTCCTCACATCCCCGGACCCCCAGACATCGGAGGAGCACAGGGATGTCAGTATTGTTTATGAAGCAGGGTATAGAAAGTACATTATTGAAATGAAAATACTATTTATTTACTTTTACAAACAGTGAGCAGCTGGGCAGCTGCAGCATGTGTATTGCAGGACATGTGTAAGCTTGCAAGCGTCTTTGAGTTGTAGAAAAGCGCTAGGCCTATAGGCTATAAATATAATGTATTATTATTATTATTATTATTATTAGGCCTATGTGTTGGACATGTGTGGTTGGACTCTGTCTCACAGGAAGGTTGCAGCATGTGTGTTGCAGGACATGTGTTGGACACACAGACTGTGTGGTTGGACTCTGTCTCACAGGAAGGTTGCAGCATGTGTGTTGCAGGACATGTGTTGGACACACAGACTGTGTGGTTGGACACACAGACTGTGTGGTTGGACTCTGTCTCACAGGCAGGTTGCAGTGTAACATCAGAGGAGACTGGGCCAATTGTACATTCTCAAACTGCACCACTTAGAACTAACTAAACAATGCAGAGATTATTTTTATATAATTGTATTCAATAACCGTAAGAAATTAAACAGTATGAAGTGATTTGTAAATAGGAATACAGATTTCACTTAATGTTTTCATAAATATATTTTTCTCCCAGTTTGTCATGGGACTTATTTTTACCCTCTCAAAGAACCGGAATCGAGAACCGAAAATGACTGGAATCGAAAAGCAGAACCGGAATCGTTAAAATCCAAACGATACCCAACCCTATGTGTGATGCAGTAAAATCTCACCGCTCACTTACGTTAGCGGTGTCGTAAAAACCGTGGGAAAATGTAAAATACAATGGCGAAGAAGAAGATTCCAGTGGCCCCAATTTGTGTCCATTCTGGACAAGTGAAAAATGTATTCGGACAAGTAAATTGCCAAACTCACTTGTCCATGGACAAGTACTCTCTAAAAACTTTTTCTCACACTGCAAGGTAACCCACCCCCCCACCTTATCACCTGAATCTCCTCCTAGAGCACCATTGTGTTCTTTTTAACCAGATATCTCTCAGAGGGGCGTGGGGAGTGGCTCCTTATTTTCATCTAAAGTAAAAGACAGAATCAGCACTTTGGAAACAGGGCTGAAACAGTGGGGATTATGGGATGCTACAATGATCTGCTTGGTGTTTCAGCCAATCAGAGACAGGCTCTGGATATATCTGACACCTATAGTATATTGATGAAAAACAGTATAACAGGGGACCTTTAAAAGCAATTAAAGGCAACTTTCTTTCGGATTAAATTGCCTGGACATTTGAAGGAAGTATAGTACAGAGTTTCTTCATACATGGATAATATGGATTTTCTTAATTATACTGCTGCCTGCTTTACATGAAACACCCTGAGCCTTCCTTTGTTTATAAATGGCGTCAGCTTGGAATCATTTAATTTGCAGATGTGTTTCACAGATGGGATGCAGCAGCAGCAGCAGGACGGACAACTACAATACTCAAACTCGTGTTCGCTGGATAAATCCTGATTTATTGAGACATGTTTCCTCCCAGCCAGTGTCGAAAAAGGAGATCCAGATGTGAGGCTCCCACAGCTGCACCCCTTAAGGCCCGACACACACCTTTCTGTCCGCAGAGAACCCAAATTAAGGTTGACGCTTCAAAAGGCCTCGTGCATACACAGAATCACACTCCCATGAAACACCATACGCTGTTTACGTTCCCAAACCTGCCGTACAGCTTTGTTAATGTCAACATTATATGCATATCAAATAAGGATGAATACTTCAATGCACTGCTGCCGTGAAACTGTCAATTAGAACATTAGTTTCAGTAAACACACGGTTTCCCGGAGAGCCACAGCACGAGGAGATCCACACGCTCGGTTTACATTCTTCTGACTTTATCGGAGGTATTTTAAGACGTTACTTTAGCGGAGGAATATGGGCTTATTGGCCCGAGCGATGACAGATGGTAGAGAAGTTGAGGGAGACAAATTGTAGGAACATGTGTTACAATAGTTTGTATAACTGTTGATAATTGGTCAATATTTTTACATGTCAACAGTTTGAAATGAGAGATATGTTAGGAGCTCTGACACGGACGGAGAATACGTTTCATTTGTTTTTAGCAAGTGGTTCCAAAAGCGTTGTATTACAGGCTGAAGTTATGATCATCAGACCTTTGATAGGGTGAATAAGATGGAAAAGATATGTTTTAAAAATCGAATAACATTCAAAATTAAAAAACAATACTGGTTTGTATATACATACATACAAACCAGTAGTCTGAGATATAGTTTATTATGCTTTAAAATAACAGTTAAATTCAAAAGCGCTGTATACTATCCAATCAAATTGATAACTTAGCAGGAAACCTTCCACAGTTATGAAAAAATGCCATTTCTACAACAAAGGACGTGCATCCCAGTGTGAAGCCTGTGCTCATTTATTCTACATTCTCTATTAATCGTATGCAAACAGCTTCCTCGTCCCTTTCCACCAATTTGCCATCTGTCTTCATTGCCTCTATCCTGGCTCTCAAGGCCATGCGCAGTAATGGCGCCGCGCCTCATGTCTAATTGTTTACTTCCTAAAGGGCACTCCAAAGCCTGTTTACTGATTACAAAATCTCTTTCTCCGTCTCCGCCTCCGAACTGAAGCCACTGTCATGACCGAATCAAGGTCGCTCCCATGCTCTCCTCCATGCTCAATCTCATAGGGAGTAGCAAAACTTCCTCTCACGCTATACTTTGTCCCTGTGCCCTTTCTTTTGTTAGTGATAAATACACATCCCCTCCAATTATCATATCCGCTTCGTCCTCTTCCCTTGGATTTGGACTGTAAACAGAGGTTGACAGGATTGATAGCCAAAACCAAATCAAACCGTCGTAAACAGTCGTATACAGAGACATGGTCAGTTTGAATTCCTTGCCAGTCCATATCATTCAGGAACATTCCTAAGTATTTCAAAAGTTGGCTAAAAAATAATCTCTGTATTAAAAAGTATAGTTTAACTGTTTGTGGGTATGTACAATATTTTTGTTTGAGGATGGGTAAAATAGGATATTTCTTGTTTTAACTTCATATTGAATTGCATGAAATTATGAGTTGTTGGGGATTAATGGGGATCCTTATAAAGAATAAGAATAATTAGTTTGTATGTCTTATCCTTTCCGGCTCACAGCTTGTGTTTAGAGCACCCTCATTATTTCTGAAAGAATGTCATGTCATGTTTTTCAGTGAGCTGAATGGTAGGGGTTATTGATATCATGTGGACACGCAAGGACTTAACTGTATAGTACGCCCACAAAAACACCAACAGTACAAACACACACAATAAGATACTTGGAAATGGTAATGATATACCTAAATAACACTATAAAGCTCAGTATATCTTTTTGATTTGGAGAACAAACAAACAAAGGTTGACAGAATAATTAGTTTGTATGAAAGTCGTATCCTTTCCGGCTCACCGCTTTGTGTTTAAAACACCATCATTATTTCTGAAAAAAATGCCATGTCATGTTTTCCATTGAGTGGAAAGGTAGAGAATATTGAAATCATGTGGACACGCAAGGACAAAACGCCCACAAAAACAAACAGTATAAACACACACGATAAAATACTTGGAAATGGTAATAAAATACGTAGAAAAACGACAACGCACTATAAAGCTCAGTATATCTCTCTGCATGCTAACCAACTGACAGAGCAATCCATCGGGCTACAGCCAGCTTGTAAAAGTTTACAGACTCCAATCCCGGCTTCAAACAAAAACTCCACTCAGCCCATATAAATTACAGCGTAGCGACACCATCAGTGGATGCCGAAAGCTGAAAACACAGCGCTCCAGAC